TCGGGGTGGAGGGGTGAGGGTCCCCGGGGCTGGGGGTATTGAGGGTCCCCGGGCCGGGGGAGTGCGGGGCCGGGTTCCTGGGTCAACCGTTTAATGCCTCCGTGCTGTGGGGTTTAGGTGGACCAACTACGTCCCGCTGGGCAGGAGGATGCCGGGCACCCGCTTCATCGCCTTCAAGGTCCCCCTGAAGACGGTAAGAGCCTGCTGATGCCATGGACGTGTTTGGGGTGGGAAGGGGCTGTGGGAAAGTGTTGCTTTATGGAGAATCAATGAGTGAATGCCTTCTAAAAAATGACAAAGAGCGTCAGTAGGTCATTTTGTTGTTTATTCTTGGTGAGAGGGTTATAATGGGGGAGAGAGGAGTGCAGCACAGTCACTGCTGTTGGAGCAGTCAGAGTGTGATGGGATAGAGGTGGTGTTCAGCATTGGAACAGCTTCTGGGGGGTGTTGGCATTTTTTTGGGTGCCAGCAGCACCACCCAGGACACAGGGAGGTCTGACTGGGCCAGCTCTGTTAGGGCAGGAGGGATGCTGTGGAGGCGCCTGGAGGTTGTGCAGCTCCATGAAAGCAGTGCCAGAGCTGCATTTTGGGAGCTGAGGCTGTGAGGGGTTGGTGTGGCAGCATTGCCCACCTAGCTGTGCCTGGAGCTCCCTGCCACTGTGTGCTGGGGGCAAGCTCTGCTCCAGAGTGGCTTGAGCACAGCAGTTATGCCTAAAACAAAAGTTCGGTCATCTCTATGGGGGTTGTGAAGCTCCTGACAGGGAGCAGTGAAGTTTGTTCACCTACATTTGAGCTGAGGGTATATTTTCTAGCTTTTACCAAATGAAAACTTCAATTTCTGGGTGTGTTTGTCAGGCTGCAGTGTTTTGCCTCAGTCTCAATTCTCTGATCGCTCTTGGAAACCCTCAGCTGAACAGTCCCAAAGCAGCGAGGGGCTGAGCACGTTCCAATTTAGCTCAGTATGACGTGTGTGTCAGTGTACATCTGCTTTTACTTGTTGCCTACATTTTTCTCTTTTAAGGGATGATCTTCTTGCAGTTCCGCAGCACGAACCTTTTCCTGCCACCCGCCAGTCGCAATGCACCTGAGTTTAATGTCTGCTCTTAAACGTTATGTCCCCCCAGAGCTTTAATCGGAACCTTCATCCAGAGGAGAGATTTTCACCTCATGACCTCATTAAGAAAATTAAAGAGCAGAAGGAAGAACTGGGCCTGATCATTGACCTGACATACACAACACGCTATTACGGGCCAGAGGTCAGTCTTGGTCTTACTGTTGGGGAAATAAAGCTCTGTGTAAGCCCTGATGTTGCTGATAACATGGAAAATGATTCTTAGAAGAAGATCACTTTAAAGAGTGTGAGGTGCTCGAATCCCCTGGCAGGGGGATGAGGTGAATCGTTGCAGGCCCTTCGGGATGGGGTCTTTGTCCTCGACTGAGTACAGGCCTGGGGTCTTCAGCCCCTGTGGTGCAGATCCTCTTTGTACCAACCAGCACAAATTTTGGGATACCCTAAAGCTGGTTTCTAGAGAGTCTCCTGAGTGAAGAGCTGATTACAACCGGCTTTGGCTTGTGGTATCAAATGTGTGGGTACTTGCATGGAAAGGTGTTCTGTGCTCTCTCTGTGCTTCATCTTCCTCAGGGAGGAAAGAGCAAATAAAAATGCAGGCTGTTCTGGAATGTTGGTACTATGTCGAAGGAGTGAAGCAGAAGTTTTCTTACCTAAACCTGTGTTGCTGCTCTTTAGGGATTAGTTGAAAAGCTCAGCTTCTTCTGGTTTATAGTCTATGGTTCTCTAATTGATAAGAATCCTTGTTCTTTTTCTGGAAATTACTGACTTTCTTTATTGTAGGAGCTCCCATCCACACTCTGCTACTCAAAGATCTTGACGATGGGACATGAAATACCAAACAAGCACACCATTTTTCAATTCAAATGCGTTGTAAAAAAGTTTTTGAGAGACAACAAAGACAACGGTAAGTGTGGATTTCCCTTAGGTTGCTGCTGTTGGGAAGGGCACCGCAGACTTGGAGGCCAGTGATGCTTTAATGAACGGCATGAATTTCTTTTCCTTCTCTTGGCATGTGAATGTCAAGACGATAAGATGGGTTTGTTATGGTAAGGGAATTCTGATAATTTGGCAGAAAGTTGAGCTTTAATTGAGTTGGAGACTGCGTCTCTAGACTGGCAGGTGGATACTGATTGCTTTTTGGTAGCGGTGTAAGCAGCAAGCTGTTAGTGCTTGGGAAATGTGGGATAGCTTTTTGTGGAGCTTTTAAGTGCATCTTTCCTGCAGTGAACTCTGTGACCATGCAGACTAGCTCACAGAATTAAATGACTTAATTAGCTGAATCGGTGGTGCTAATTAGACATGGTGATGTCGTTGTGTGGTCATTTCTGTTTATTTATGCTGGTGTCACTGTTAGAGGATGAATGCAAATGGGCTTGTTCTGGTGGGGTTTTGAAGAAAGAGCATTTAAATATAACCTGATGATTGTGTGTTACAGATAAACTCATCGGAGTTCATTGCACGCATGGCTTAAACAGAACTGGCTACCTGGTTTGTAGGTGAGTTGTCCTTAGTCAAACTAAGTACCAGCTTCTTGTGGCTCCAGGAAGAAATAGTGTTGCACCAGTAAAACGAGTCATGACCTGTGTAATCCCAGACTTGCAAGGATTTAAAGCTTTTCAGCTTCGAGACAGTTGCTGTTAGCGGGCACTTTTTATCCCCAATTTCAGCAGACCAAATGCTGATACTCTGTTCCGGCATGTAAATAGAAGCTCTAAAAACTTCCCAGTTATTCTTTCTTTTTGAATCATCACTGACCTGTCAGTGTTACTGTAGTTAATTGTGTAATTAGAGCTTTCTTGCTGATCTGTTCAGGTACCTGATTGATGTTGAAGGCATGGAGCCAAATACTGCAATAGAGTGTACGTATGTGTATGTTCTTGTTCGGATGCGAAATGTTTATCGTGGGCTTGTGGATTTAGATGGTCACAGAGTTTGGGCTGACTCTGGGGAGGTAACTGTGTTTTAGCTGTGTGTGTGTTTTCCTGTCGTGTAGAGTGGGAGCTGGGGAAAGGGAGGTGTTGAGGGTTCTTTGAGGTAATTGGAAAGAAGGAATTACATTTATGGCCCGACTGTGGAGCTGACCAGGGCTGAGCAAACTCGGGGGCACTGAGCACAGCTCTGCCTGTCTGCCTTGGCACGGGCTGGTGGTACGCCAAGTGGAATCACCCTGCGCAACCTGGGTGTGGAAGTATTGGTTGAAGGGGTTAAAATCCTTCGAAAGGGTGTAAGTGCTCTGCAGCCCCACAGATGACTCCTGCAGAGCATTGTTGTAACTCGGACCTGTCTTTCTACAGTGTTCAACAGGGCTCGAGGGCATCCTATAGAGAGAATCAACTATATCCAAGATCTTCAGCAGAGATCTGTAAAAAAGTAAGTCTCTTTGTGTGCATGAGCAAGTGCCTGTGCCTGGGGAGAGCCGCTGTCGAGCAACAGCGGTTAAACGTTATTAGCTCCTAGGAAGGGACATGGAAAGGGCCAGTGGATAAGAAGGAAGTTGGGAGACCCGGGTTTAAAGATTTCTGCAGGCCTGCTGCCCCCCCATCCCCTTTTCTGGGGAGCGGTGATGCAAAGGGGAGGGGGTTTTTAAGTGTAAAAGACTTGTGATCGCTTAGCGAGGGTTTTTTTAAGTGTAAAGGACTTGTTGTGATCACTTAGCGAATGGTGTGTGGACACAGTTGAGATATACAGAATTTTTTTTAAGGAAACGCGGGCTTAAGAATTTGGGCTCGGGCACCTTCAGAGAAAAAGCCAGCGCTACGCCAGACACTAAAATGCAGATGGTAAACTGTCATCCACATCGTTCGGACCAATCCACGTTAGCGGTGCCCAGGTAGGTTTTTGCTTCTGGCCTCTGTGTGCGCTGTGGAGCTGAGCACACGCAACAAAAAGAGCTGTTTTCTCCTTTTTTAAAAACTTAAACTTGGATTTTTACAAGCCGTAACTCAGGGAAGAGAGCACCCGTTGCGTTGCCAGCTCTGCAGTAGGGGGGTGGGAAAAAAAAACAACCCTGAAACTTGTCGAGAGCCTCTGTATTGACGTGTCTTCAGCAGCAAAGCTCTTGGCCTCGGAGTAACGCGCTTGTGCGTTAAGCATCTTGGGAGCAGATGGTTTGAGCATGTCCAGAGGAGGCCCCAGAGATGCTGGGAGGGCTGGAGCCCCTCTGCTGAGAGGACAGGCTGAGAGAGTTAGGGGTGTTCAGCCTGGAGAAGAGAAGGCGAAAAAGGGGAGACCTCAGAGCCCCTTCCAGTGCCTAAAGGGGCTCCAGGAGAGCTGGGGAGGGACTCTGGATCAGGGAGGGGAGCAATGGGACGAGGGGGAATGTTTTAAACTGGAAGAGGGGAGATTTACATGAGATAATAGGAAGAAATTGTTGGCTGTGCGGGTGGTGAGCCCCTGGGGCAGGTTGCCCCGAGAAGCTGTGGCTGCCCCATCCCTGGAGGTGTTCAAGGCCAGGTTGGACGGGGCTTGGAGCAACCTGGGCTGGGGGGAGGTGGCCCTGCCCAGGGCAGGGGGTGGCACTGGGTGGTCTTCAAGTTCCTTTCCAGCCCAACCCACTCTATGATTCCATGCGTAGTAGCCAGGGGCTGTATCTAGCAGAGCAGTGGCTCATTCAGCCATGCTCTTCAGGGGCACGCAAAATGTCTCCTACTGAAAACTTCCCTTACTGTAAGAAATCAGCATGTGGGAAATAAGCTGCTCACTGGGCGTTCTCCCTGGGTGTCTGGGGAAACCCAGAAGAGCTGCGGGCATTCATGACCAGCACTTTCGGGCTCTGCGTACAGAATCTGAACAGTGCCGGGACTTCTCCTGGTACTGACTCCTGAATTTTCTTCCAGAAACTCCGGCAAAGTCAAGAAGAACCGTCAGCGAGGCGCCGAGGCACAGGCACACCACCAGGAGCTGGCTTCGGAGCACAGGGCCGTGGAGCAAAGGCGGCCGTGCGGTTTCACAGCGAGGAACTGTCGGGTTTCATTACCCGCTAACGAGTGGCGCAACGGACTGTGCTTTCCCCCCCAGAGCCCCCTCCTCTGCCCGCCCCAGGAAATACAAGCAGCCAGGAAACGCAGGCGCCGGCGTAGGAAACCGGTTGCGATGGCGTAGGGAATGTTGTACACCATGAAATCCCATACGGGGCTGCGTCCTCACCCCCGCGGAGCTCCGAGATGGGTCTCTCGCGGCTTTGCTGTAACCTCCAGCAGTCAGGAATGGCAAACGCAGGTGTTCTTAACACAGCTCAGTTTTTAAATTCTTTTTCTTTTCCCTCTCTCTCCCCTCTTGGTACTTTTACAAAGCTTCCAGAGACTTCTTTTTAACCTGATGTCGTACATGGAGTCGTAGCTCTGTTCCCTGAGGGACGCGGAGAATAAACGCTAACCCAAAGGGAGCTGGAATTACCCCAAAGAAACATCCTCAGGAACATCGTTTTAACCTTCAACAAAAAAAAAAAAAAGGGCTTTTCCTTTATTTCCTCAAATACATAACAAGAAATAGGATTTGGCCTGAAACTGTTTTGTGTTGGGTTTTTCTTCCCCTTTTCACCAACTTTTGCTGCAGTAAATTTCGGCTGTGCTTAACCCTGGGCTCGGGAGCTGTTACTTCCCCTGGGCTGGGCCCGAGGAGCCCGGCAGGACCCGGCTCGGACCCCACCGGAGGGTTGCGGGGCGGTGAGCGGTGCACGCTGCCTTCCCACCCCCTTTTGGGGTGAGAACGGCTGTTTCCGGGGTGGGGCGGGGCCGTGCAGCCGGAAGGGAGCTGCCCCTTTAAGGCCCAGGGCCGGTCTCTGAGGTCGTGACGTCCGACTTTCCGCTAAGGGAAAGGAAGCGGCTGCTCGGTCGGGCGGAAGTGGGAGGCAGTCGCGGTGTGCGGATGTTACACGGCGGCTCCTGATTGGCTGCTGAAAGAGAGCGGGGGTGGTGCTGTCGTGCTTTTCGGCAACAACCCGGAAGCGTTGACGGGAGGCGGCGGGTGGCGGCAGGGCAGGGCCGGGCACCGGGGCTGCGGGGGGGGCCTCGGTTGCGGGGGGGTGGGGGGTCTCGTATCGGGTTTCCCTTCGTGGGCCTCCGGTGGGAGAGGGCTCTGGTTGTGGGTGTCTCTCCCCTTTGGAAGGAGGGGATCCTGTTTGGGGTTCCCCGTGCTCTGTTGTGGGGGGCTGGGAGCCCGTGGGGGCTTTGGTTGGGGGATCCTCTTTTTTTTTTAGAGAGAGGAAAGGCAGAGGATGGCTGTTCTGGGAGGGACAGGCAGTCCTGGGGGGCTCCACTTTCATCCCTTGCAGGGGAAGGGCTGTGGGAGTTCTGGAGCGCTCTGATTTGGGGGCGGAAGGAAGGAGTGTTTCGCTTGGCAGGCAACGACTTGGGGAGGTTGTAGTTTGGGGGCTAGCAGCTCGAGGCAGGAGTGTTTTGGGCAGTTTCTTTATCTTCAGGGAAGCTGCAGCAAATAGAGGGGGAGCTCTGGGCTGGGGGGCAGTGGGGCTTACAGTGTGGGAGTGGTGTCTGTTCTTCCTTGGGGGAGAAAGACTGTAGAAAGCAGTGGGGGGCTTTAGTTTGGGGAGGTGACTGAGAGCTCTGGCTTGGTGGGGGATGCTCTCCATCAGTAGAAGCATCAGTGAGGAGGAGAAGCGGGAGCCCACTCTAAGCTGAGGCTCTGTCACACCCCATAAGTGAATGCTTTGGCACGACAGCCTCAGGCAGGACTGAATCCTACAGCTCTTATTTAGGGCAAGGAGTCCACGGAGGCCCCTCCAGGATGCAGGCTGGGAAACGCCTTAATGGAAAACTCAGGAAACGCCTGCCTTAAAAAGGGGCTTTTGCTCTGAGGCAACCCCAGAAAGGCAACTCCTTTGTGGCTCGTGTTCCTCAGGCAGTGCTTAGCTCAGCTCACGACCATTCCCCCATTTAGGAAGGAGCCACAGTAAATCATGACGTCGTGTGTGTGGCAGTCACGTTGCTGGAAGGCTTGAGAGGTGCTCTGGATTCAGTGCTGGGATTTCATAGAGAGTTTAACCCTTACGCTGGTCTGGGGTGGCTTTTCTCAGGGAAAGCTGCTTTTGGTGTAGGGGAAGAGCATTGCAGAGGGTTTCTGGGCTCACTGCCCTTCAAACAGTCCTGGCACTTCCTCCAGCTTTGAATTTATTGGCTCATGCCATGGGGCTGTGGGTGAGAAGGGGTTTGTTGGAGCCAAGCAGGAGGCAGATGCATGGATCAGGTTGAGGTGCATTCCTGGGGCGACAGGTGTGCCTCCCGTAGCGTGGGGAGAGAAGGGATTGCAACTGTGCCCGGGCAAGAGCAATTTGGGATAGAGCTTGTTGGGTAGGGGCAGATGTGCTGAGCAGCAGCAGCTGGAAGGATGGCCTTCAGCTCCATCCTCCTCTCACTGCTGTGTAAGCGAAACAGTGAAAGCTGCAGTGTTGAAACCCCATGTAAAGCTCTTTCTGCTCGAGTCTGAATGAAACGCTTTGGCAATCTTCCCCCCAAACTAGTGGCCAGCACTAATTTTGTTGTGTGGAGAGACGATTGGGAAGGAAGCGCAACTTTGGGTAGGATTTGGATGGGTCAAACCCTAGCCTGAAATCAATTACCAAAGACTGATCTTGAATTTGTGGCTGCCTTTCACGTCATAGAGGTAACCGAGAACTATGCCTAAAAAGAGCTGGGCTTCTCCCAAATTCCTCTCTCAGGACCTAACTTGGCCCATGTATTAAATGTTTTTCTGCTGAGAGGGGGGTGATTTTTATCGAGGAAAAGCAGCCCTGAGGAAACTGGATGAGTTACCTGGTTTACACTGGTTTTGATGTACTTGGCCTTCCTCCCACCACAGAGTTCGTCAGCCTCGCAGTAGCTTTGATGTGTGTCGTTATGCCTGAGCACACCGACATCAGCCTCCCGCCGGAGGAGCGAGTCCGAAGACTGATCCAGGTGGGAAGTGCTGTGGAAGTGAACGAGGATGTCCCGCCACGACGCTACTACCGCTCCGGAGTGGAAATCCTCCGTATGGCAACCATTTACTCAGAGGAAGGCAATATTGAGCGTGCCTTTATTTTGTACAACAAATACATCACGTAAGAGCAGTGTTGCTTTGTTTGCAAGTAACCTGTGTCGATACAAGGGGTTGTGGGTTTGGGTGTTGGGTATTTTGAGCGTCTAAACACCACAAGGCCTTGCTGAGCTGGAAGAACTGGGTTCTGTCCAGAGCTCTGCTCATTTTGAATTTCTCTTCCCACAGAGGTGAGGATACAGCTGGTTAAACTGACCAGGAGATGTCGTAAAGGTGTGAGGCACAAACCCGCAAACACCGCTCATCTCTTTTAAAAGTTCCCTTTGAAAACAGGCTGATCTTGTAGTCCTCCGTCCCTCTGCTAGTGGAGACTGCTGTCAACAGGAGGGAGGTTTTCTCTCCCTGTGTGTCAAAGCTTCCTGGTGTTTTATCACCTCAGAGATGGCTAGATTGACCTTGATTGTCGCTAGGTTGGCCGTGACATCATACAGATTGGCAAGGATCCGTGGTCAAGGATCTCGGTATCGAGTATCTACCTGGAAGGGATCTAGGCTGGTCAGTGGTTTCTCTAATAAACGGCCTTTGGAGGAGACGCCTGTGTAGCGCTTCAGTTACTACAGCCTTTTACAGCAGGTAGTGAGTTCCTCCTTCAGGCGCAGGGAAGAGTTGTAGATTTAGTTTTACACCTCAGAAAGATGTAACCCCCCCCACCAAACATGCACGCATACAACCGAGCCCTTCTCAGGAGGGCCATGGGGAAGAGTTCTGGGTCCAAAGAACCCGATCCCAATCAACTGGTGAGTTTCTTGGGTGCCGAGCACCCTTCTAAAAAGCCCCAGATCGTATATAAACCCAGCAAACACCCTGTTTGGTGTTTCAGTTGCTGGGTCTCCAGCTGTAGGGTCTGCATTCTGTGCAGACAAGTGTAGAGCCGAATATTCTGGCTGTCGTCTCTGCAGCTGCCCAGAAACGAGCCATCTTGGGTCTGAAACCCCACTGCCGTGCCTGCCAAGCTGGAGCGTACACCGTGCTAACGCAGTGACGTGGTGTCAGGTCTGGATCGTGTCTCAGCAGCCTGGAGTACGAGCAGAGCAAATATGTCTCTCTGTAGCTGTGTGTGCCGGTGTTTAAAGGGCTGAAAACATCCTCAGAAATTATCTCAATGGCACAGAGTGTCCCTGTAGGTTTTTTTGGCCAAAAACCTGTCCCTCTCACTTTTCCCCAGTGCCGCTCTGATATGGTCTGAGTTGTGCCCACACTACCCGCTTATCCACAATGTGGTTGGCATCTGCGTGGGCATTTTCTCTCCCTGCCCCCGTGTGCAGAGTTCCTGCTCCTTAAATCCAACGCATTTTTCTCTGATTAGCTTTTCTTCCCGCCTTACACTTCCTGAGCTTTTATGGGCATTGTAGCGAGTGCCCTGGGAGCTGGGAAGTGTAAAACCCTTGGGAAGGTTTCCAGGCTGGTTACGTAGCCAAGGCCGAAGAAGAAACACTTTAACTAAACAAATGAACTAAAAGCACCTTCGCTGTTTCATTATAGCAATGATAGGTGCTGGCGTCTTTTCTCTCCAGCAGCTTTCAAATGCTCATGGATGGCTTTTACGTTAGCCTGGCTGCTGGGCTGCCAGGAAGGTGAAAAAAAGTTTACCTCGGTGGTGTGATTTCTCCAGTGCTGATGAATATGAGCTTCTGCCCTGGATTGTCCGAAGAGATTAATTTAATGTCACAGTTCTCTTTTATTTAAATGAAGATGTGAAGCTGTAGCTGAAGCGGTAGGCTTGATGAAGTGTCTTCTAGATGCCCCTCACCAAGGGTGTGATCCAGAAGGCGAGAGCGGGGCACTGGTAATTGGAGCCCCTCACGGGACTTGCTCTGCTCTCCCCTTTCTAGAAACGGGATTGTTTCCCCGGTGTTTCAGCCCACATCTGCAGTCAGTGCTGTGGCTGTCCTTTCTCAGAGCCCAGCTCCCTGCGGAGTGTATGGCCTAGCGC